AGCCACCTCTGGACTTTCTAGAGTCAGGAGCCAAGGCCCTCCTCTCATTATTCAGGCCAGTTTAAACTGGGTCTTTTTCCCTGTGCCTGTAAACACACTGCCCTGTACAGACGGTTCATTCACACGTGGCCGACCTGCGATGGACAGTGTGACCGTGAGAACACACCGTGGGGGGGTGCGCCGGTGGCGAAATATTCTGAGATACACTAAGTAAAATTAACTGTAAAATATAATTCTCACTTGTGTGAAAAAGATATTTGCATCTTCACAGACATCTCCTGGAAGGGGACTTACTGGTGGCTGCCTCTGGGGGACAGGAGATACTTCTCACTTCACACTCTCCTATGTTTAGATTGCTTTACTTATGTATTAAAAAAAAAGACTAGTTTACGGGCTGGCCCCCTGGCTTAGCAGTTAAGTGCGCATGCTCCGCTACTGGTGGCCTGAGTTCGGATCCCAGGTGCACACTGATGCACCGCTTCTCCGGCCATGCTGAGGCTGCATCCCACATACAGCAACTAGAAGGATGTGCAACTATGACATACAACTGTCTACTGGGGCTTTGGGGAAAAAAAAGGAGGAGGATTGGCAATAGATGTTAGCTCAGAGCCAGTCTTCCTCAGCAAAAAAAAAAAAAAAAAAAAGGATTAGCATGGATGTTAGCTTAGGGCTGATCTTCCTCACCAAACAAAAAAAAGACTAGTTTAAAAGTGCTTTGAGGTGATAAAATTACAGTCCAGGGTGATATAATTTATTTTAGTAGTTATTAAACCATGTTTTCGAAGCCCTTGCTGAGACACAGTGCACAGGAGCAAAGCTGAGAGAAGAAACCACTGTCTCAGACTGTTATAGGGAATGCTTACTTCCTGCTTCTTCAAAGCCGGGGTCTCTAACAGTGGTGACTTCACCAGAACAAGAGCCACAGGAAGTAGCCATGACTTTTCTCTTCCTCCTCAAGTCATGCTGCAGTCCCCGTTCTACACTGTCCACTTCAGGCTTTCCTGAGGTACCGTGGAGACCCCAAAAGCATTTTGAGAATGCACATACCCTTACTAAAGCCCTTGAGGAGGAAAAGCCAGGTCGCACTGACTTTACAAGGAACTAAAAGGCCCTAAAGGTGTATGGTTGTCTGGATTTCTGAAGAGAATCCCCGGATCCTGAGAACAGTGCACAGGAGGGCAAGTGTGCCTGGAAGGCAGGGCAGCATCCTCCTGGATGACAGACACAAGCACAGGAAAGCACCTCTACCAAAATCCAGCACTAGGGACAGGCTATGACGGTTTAGAGGCAGACAACCTAAAATCCCTGTGGCCCTGTGGACACCACTCATGACCCCGGAGCTGAAGGCCCACTCGTCATACAGCTGCCCCACTCACCTGACACCTGGGCAACTCGTCATACAGCTGCCCCACTCACTTGACTTCCCAGGACAAGAGGATGCCTTGGGTGCTGGGACCTCTGCGACAGCCCCTCCCCCTCCTCAGGGCCTCTGCAGTCCATGCTCTGAGGCTGCTGGCCAAGAAGCGGTCAGTGGTCCCTGCTGCTGAGACTGAGGCCCTGTCTCTGCTGGCCTCTACTCAGCCTCTCCTTCAGGGGAGCTCTCCCCAGGGGTCCCTAAGATTGCAGTGGCCTACACTCACATGCATGCCCATTACCCAGTGGCAGCCGCTGCACAGTATGTCCTGGAGAGACAGCCACGTCCGACTGCCCACTGCCCAGCACAGAAAGCCCTCCATAGGCTTGCTGGGTGGACGGCAGCTCTGGCCTTGCAGAGAAGTGAGCCTGCTGCCCAGAGTCAGGGCCTCCAGTGCCAGGTGAGGCTGAGCTCCACTGGCCCCCAAAACAAAACGGGGCACCCAAATCCAGGTGTAGAGGCAGGGATCAGCACTCTCCGGCTTTCTCCCAACGCCTGTCGACCTGGCAGAGCCCAGTGAACTGGACAGTCTTCTTCTCAGGCGTGCCCTGGCTGTGGTTTTGCTCAACAGGAGCCAGAGATTCAGAACTCAGGGCTGGCAGGCACCAAACCTCCTATTTTAACTGTGGGCACAGTTCTGCGGCCAGGCTTCTAGAGTGTGAACGCGGCTCTCCCGAATCCTCGACAGGAACTTACCTTTTTCCGAGTCATGTTTTGGGCACAATGGCTTCCTCAGAGCTGTTCAGGTGACTGAGTTTATTAACTGTTAGGTCCTCTAAGCACTTCCCACATTCCAGGAAGTTCCAGGAAGGTTCTGCATCTATTAATTTTTACTGTCATTCATGTGGGGACACTGAGTGCAGGCTTCTCCTGCAACAGCACAGACAGTCTCCTGTCCGCTCTCAGCACTGCCCTGTGGGCAGAGCCCCGAGACTGGTGAGCTAGGCAGTGGCAGGGGCAGCCGGAGGCATGAGTAGGATGTGGGGCGGGTCGGACACCGGGCGAGCCTGGGCGGCAGAAAGAGGACTCTGAGCAGGGAGTGGTCCAGGGTGCCGGGTGCTGCAGAGGCCCAGAGTCTGGTGACCAGGGTGAGGAGGGTGGTGGTGGGTTCAGAGAGCCCAGATGAGAAGCTGCCTGGCAAAGGAAGGGGGAGGCGAGAGGGCTAAGCTGTCTGGGATGCGATCTCTGTGCTGCGGGGAGAGGGAGAGGAGCTGGGACAAGGCAGCAAGTCCTGGGAGGAGGCGGGCGGCAAGCACAGGAAGGGTAAGGAAAGACCCTGAGACCCTAAAGCGAGAGTGCATGGGAGCTAGGAGGGGAAGCGCAGGTCACAGCTGGCCTCCATGGTCTGAGGACAGGTAGCACGTGGATTCAGGGCATCTGGGCAGGGGGTGACCAGGAGGCTGCACTGTGGCTCCATGCAGGGAGCCAGTATGCACTGGGGATTCCCCTGGGCGCACCCCTTATTCGGGGTTTCTCTTCTACCCTCATCCAACCATTCACTCAGATGAGATGGCTGAAAATCACCAAAAAGTTTTGTAAACTAATTGAAAAACAAACCTACCTCTGAAAAAGTCACAGCTAGACTTCACCCTGAACTGGGCTGTGACCTGTGAAAAGGCTTGCACGGGGTCCAGCCACCAGGTCTCCCTGAATAGATGGGACAGCAGGAGCTGACCAGGAGGTGCTGGGCCCACACACGAGCAGTCAGGGTCTGCGGCCACCAGCTCCCCCAGGGCAGGCCGGGTCAGAGGTCCCTGGCGAGTGGGCACTGCCACCAGCCCCTTTACAGACAGGCCAGCAGGACCAGGACATGAATCTCGTGCAGTGGCAGTGCCAGGTTCCAACCCAGCGTCCCCACGCTCTGTGGCCTGGGTCATACCACCTGGGGCCCGACAGGACAACCTAAAATTGCATTTCCTCCAGGCCTGCGGGGTCAAATTCTTCTACCTTGTGCTTTCAGCTGGGCGTAACTAAGCCACAAGCCAGCCTGTGCAGAGCTGTCACCTCCACAGAGGACAACTAGGAGGGGCACAAAGAATCTAAAACCTCACTTGATAGAATTTATTGAGACTGTGCCCACCACAGACGCCTCCACCACCCACCTCCTGTTGTACCAGCCACACCAACCCCGCTGGTTCCCACGGCAGCCGAGCCTCCCCGAGATGCTTAATGCTACGTTGGTGTGACCCAGGACAAAAACAACCAAACGCCAGCGTTAGTATAAAGATATATTCCATAAACGAGTTTGGCAGCCAAAGAAAAGCACCACACTTCCTAACACAAGCATTCTTCTCCCCCTAGTCTATAGAGAAAACAGTAAAAAAAAAATTGTAACAACATCATCCACACAACACCCCCCGTACCCACTACACCAGCACGCACACTCAGGCGAGCAGCTGAAGGCAGCCCTCGAGCCCTCAACCGTGAGGACAGAACCGGAAGGAGATCCAGAAAAGCGTCAAAAAGCAGCCCAGCCAGACGCACGGACGCCCTGCCCTCCCTCGGGGCTTATTCAGTACAGGAGACAGACTCCATTTCCAAGAGCAAGCCCGGGACAGCCTGGACAGGAAGGGTAGAGGCAGTGACCACAGACACCCCGATCCAGGGAGGGAGTCACCACCAAAGTTAGAACACAATGTCTGCAGCGTCTGTGCAGCTGTGGGCTGGGGTCTGCGGCTCGGCCCAGGGCCTGGCCGCAGAGCTTCTCTCCAGGGAGAGGTAAATGCCAGGCCAGCCGGCCAGCCCTCAGCACATAGCGTGGAGAGGAGCCCTGGCCAAAGGTTTCAGGCTGGCCATCCCTGGCTGGGGCTCCCTGGCCTTGCAGTTGGGGGGCAGGTCAGGATTCAAGTTCTGGGTGAGGGTTTCAGTAGCACCGAGACCAGAGACAGTGAGGCCGAGCTGGGGAGGGCAGCTGAGTGCAGGTGTACCCGGGGCACAGCAGAAGGGGAAGCACGTGTGTGCACCTGGGCTCAGGGATGAAAAGGAGAAGCCGATGGGTTGGGTCATGTGACGCTCAGGGGAACCAAAAGGCATGGCCTCAGTCCCAGACACTGGGGATGGCTGCTCAGAGGACAATGTCAGAGGAAATGGCAAAGCAGTGTGAGAACACTCTTACCCTATAAATAAACTATTTACACACCTTAGAAAAGAAGAGCCAACTCTCAGAAGAACCATGCCCACTGCCCCTTGTGCCATCAGGGCAGAATGCTGTTGAGACCAGAGACAGTTCCTGCCCTGGGAGGGGCACCAGCCCACACACTGGCTCAGGCTTATGTCACTGGGACACGGCTGAGGATCCTCAAATACCCCCAACGTGGGCAGACACCACAGGCCCCACTGGCACTCAGAGGTCCACTCGTGCCCCTCCCCTCCCCAGTCACAGGCGGTGCCCCTGCTGCTGCGAGCAGTCTTGTCCACGCTTGCTGGTCCCCTACCCACGTCCCCCTCATAGAAGATGTGGCTGCTCTCCTGGCCAGCACCGATGACACGAGTGGAGAGGAGGCCAGGGTGCCTGCCAACGCACGTGGGCTCCAGGAGGACAGAGGGAAGCCCTCCTTGCAGCCACAGGAACCCTGTCTGTCCCAAAGAGTCACTAGCCCCACGTAAAGACACATTCTCTGTCTCTTGGGAGACCCTGCCCAGGAGGGGTCTTGTTAACAAGTCTGTGCAGCTAAGAGGAGCCCCTGGGTCTTCAGCACCAGCAAGCAGAAACAGAAGTCACGTCACACTGATGCTGAAGACGGGGTGCTGGCTGTGGCTGGGTGATCCACTTCCCTCCCTCGGGACCACAGTGACGACAGTGAAGGGTTGGGCCTCCATGGCGTGGCTCAGCTCCACTCGCGTGCCTCTCTCCTCAGAAGTGATGGCCTGCCTTCACCGCCTCGATGTCCGAGATCAGGGTCCTCGCCAGGAAGATGCCAAATATCTGAAACCAAAGCCAGCAGAGACAGTGGCTGTCAGTGCTGGGGCCCAAAGGGAGAGGGCGGGTGCAGAGGGCAGGTGGTGTGGTATCCTGCACTGCACACCACCGCCATGCCTACCCTGCGGAGACTGAGGACGCACCAAGAGCAACAACTGAGCATGTGGCAAAGCAAGGCCCACCCACCGGTCAAAAGGGAGTCTCGGGTCTATTCTGCTGTTTTCCTGGAGCCTGGAAGGCACAGAGCAGGCACCACAGAAGCAAAGAGACGCACTGCCCACCTCCAGCACAGCTCTGCACGTCACAGCCCATGGGTCAGGACACCCGCTGTGCCGGGTTAAACCAAAAATAACATGGTCACCCTGACTGGTTCTTTTTTTTTTTTTTTTTAAAGATTTTATTTATTCATTTTTTTCCCCCCAAAGCCCCAGTAGATAGTTGTATGTCATAGGTTCACATCCTTCTAGTTGCTGTATGTGGGACTCGGCCTCGGGTTGGACGGAGAAGTGGTGCCTTGGGGCGTGCCCGGGATCCGAACCCGGGCCGCCAGCATCAGAGCGCGCGCACTTAACCGCCAAGCCACGGAGCCGGCCCACCCTGACTGGTTCTGATTCCCAAAATAACAAATCTTACGTGTTTACTGTAAACCTGGATTCCATCATAAAACCAAGAGTGTCCCTGATTATGGCTGTGCTGGTGTCTGAAGCTACGTCCTGACCTTGGTGACCGGGATAATCAAGTGGAAGACACATGTTCTTCTACCAGGAACAGACTAACGTGAACTTGGTAACCTTAGGAATTCTGCTTTTTTTTCTCCCTTTAAACTCTTGCTGTGGTTTGCATTTGATAAGCCAGTTCTTCTGAAGTCTGAATCCTTTGCCTGCTTTGCAAGTAAATTTTTTGTTTCCTTCGTAGACGCTTCTGTCTCTCAGCCTTCCTTTGTGACATTCACTGAGTGGAGGAGGAAGGTGTGTGAACAGCTGGGGCCCTGGATCCACCTCAGTCACCCTCTGCAAGGCAAGGTTGGAGCCAGACGTTTTCTAAACGGTGCATTTCCCATGAGGCAGCAGCATCAGCTGTCCCAGAGGCGGCTCGGGGCCGCCAGCTTCTCCTGACGAGCCCCGGCACTGGAACAACTCCTGGCTTCTCTGATTCACGGAATTCTTGACGTTCTCCTACCAGTTCTTTTCCCAGCAGACACCAACCTATCCACCTGAGGCACCTCGGAATGTGAGCTCAGGCCTCACTGTCCCCTTGGCCACTAATGTCTTTCCACACGTGAAATCTGGTTCAAACGAAGGGATACAGTCCAGAAGGAGACAGGAAGCCACCAAGGGCAGTGGGCACAAACCTGCAGCAGGGAGATGGCAATGAAGACGCCAGCCACGATGTAGATATTCCGCGGGAGCCAGCCCTCCAGCGCCTGGATGCAGCCTTTCGTGAAGATGGACTCGTCCCACTTGCTCTTCAGCTGCAGGGAAACACCAGAGAGGCCTGAGCCCGTGACACGCAGGCAGTCCCCACCCTGGTTCCCAGAGGGCTCCCAATGGTGGCAGGGCAAAGCTCCACGGGAATGAGGGACCTAGGAGGCAGGCACCAAGGACGGACAGAATTCCCCGGAAGAAATGCATGGACTTGTCTCGGTCTCTGCCCCTCCCTGGGCGGTTTGCCTTTTATAACCTGCCTAACAGAGGCTCCCTGGCTACGACTTAACCCACTCTGCCAGGGCCTCCACAGATGTAAAAGTCAGCTTGTCCACCGTCCCTCCACAGCCTGGAGAAAGAAGATGTGCTTTTAGAGGGAGAACTGGGAGAAGGGGGCTGCAGTGTCTCCCAAGTCAGAGGAACTGGCCCAAGAAGGACGGATGGACAGTGGCTTCTCAGACTGTACCCCCCCACTCCAGGGAAGCTCGGCTCCAGGAGCCAGAGCCAGTCATTAGCCAAGCGGCTGCCTCCCATCTGGCCCCCTAGTGGAGGATAGGTGATCACGGGAGATAACCCCACACACATACCCACCACCCCACAGACAGCAACCAGCCTGGCCCCTCACCTACCAGCCTCACCATGGCAACACTGATGAAACAGGAATTCAGTGTAGTGGTATTATGGGCTGGACTGTGTCCCCGCAAAATTCCTATGTCGAAGTCCTAACCCCCAGTTCCTCGGAATGTGACTATATGTGGAAATAGGGTCGTTAAACAGGTAAACGAAATGGAGTCATAAGGGTGGGCCCTAATCCAACATGACTGGTGTCCTTATAAGAAGAGATTAGGACACAGACACACACACACAGAGGACACAGGGAGGGGAAGGCGGCCAGGAGAGAGGCCTCAGAAGAAACCAATCCTGCCAATACCTCCATCTCGGACTTCTAACCTCCAGAATAGGGAGAAAGTATAAATTTCTGCTGTTTATGCCACACAATCTGTGGTACTTGGTTATGGCAGCCTGAGCAACTAATACAAGTGGCAATGCAGTTTATCACTGGAGAAGCTGACACTGACATAGGCCTGTCCCTGTGAAATGGAGGCCACTGCAGAAGGACTTGAGGTTTCCCAAACTGGAGGGACACATCCCAAGTGCCCATGGCCAACAAGAGGGGTGTCTACACATTCCCCGAGCTCCCTCCTTCAGAATAGCAGTCAGCCATGTCACCAGAGGTACCAGAGCAAGGACTAGGGACTCTCCTCTCTCCACAGCCAAGTGCACACTCCCTGCGGCCTGAAGAAGCCCTGGAGGACTGAGCCCGCTCCTGCCCTGAGACCCATCTCCCTCCTGTTATCTCCACTGCCTCCATATGGGGGCTGGACCAAGCATACGCTCATGCAGCTTCATCCTAAATCCCTATATAACAGACACCTTCTGGAGCTCAAGGAGTCTCTTAAAAATGTAGTCTTAGGGGCTGGCCCGGTGGCGCAGTGGTTAAGTTCGTGCGCTCCGCTTTGGCGGCCCAGGATTCGCAGGTTCAGATCCCAGGCGTGGACCAACGCACCACTCATCAAGCCATGCTGTGGCGGTGTTCCACATATAAAGTAGAGGAAGATGGGCACAGATGTTAGCCCAGGACCAATCTTCCTCAGCAAAAAGAGGAGGATTGGCAACAGATGTTAGCTCAGGGCTGATCTTTTTCTTCTTCAAAAAAAATGTAGTCTTTGTTGCCCAAACCTTTCGTCCGACCTCTTTCCACTAAGGTGACAACTGCTAGATTTTGTGACCAGAGTTCCCAGGGCTGGGATCACACCCCTTACTGTTCCCGTGAGTCCTGCTGCTAAGGAAGGAGCGTGCCCAGTGGTGTCTCCTGTGCAGCTCGCTCCCGGCTAAGACGCACCTTCGAGCTCCAACCCCCCCAGCTCTCCCAGCCAAACTGCACTTGGGCTACATCAGAAGGTGGACCACAGAGAGTAAACCTGAAGAACTGGCACCGTTGTGCGGACCGGCGTTCTCACCTGAGTCCTGACATCATATCCACACTGTGTGTTCACGACCTTTTGCTGTAAGAAAAGAAGAAAAAAATCAGCATTTCTGTTCTCTTGAGGAGCTGATGGTAGAAGGCTCTAGAAAAGTCCCAGCCAAACACCTGTTCAAATTCCTTTATAGCTCACGTCCTTCAATCATACTGCTAACTGACCTCTCATGCTAGGACAGGGGCTGGCAAACTTGTCGTACAAAGAGCTAGATAGTAAATATTTAGACCCATCTATGCAGCAACTATTCGGCTCTGTCACCACAGCATGAAAGGAGCACTGACAAGATGTAACAACTGGGCAGGGCTATATTTCCATAACACTTCATTTATGGACACTGAAATTTGAATTTCATACAATTTTCACATGTGACAAAATATTACTCTTCTTCTGATTTATTTTTAACCATTTAACAATGGCTGAAACCGGGGCCGGCCCGGTGGTGCAAGCAGTTAAGTGCGCGTGCTCTGCTGCAGCGGCCCGGGATTTGCCAGTTCGGACCCCAGGTGCACACCAACGCACCGCTTGTCAAGCCATGCTGTGGCAGCGTCCCATATAATAAAGTAAAGGAAGATGGGCATGGATGTTAGCCCAGGGCCAGTCTTCCTCAGCAAAAAAAGAGGAGGATTGGCAGAGCTTAGCTCAGGGCCGATCTTTGTCAGGGCTGATCTTCGTCACAAAAAAATAAGAAATAAATAAATAAAAATGGCTGAAACCATTCTTGGCTCTCAGGTCATACAAACACAGAGAGCAGGCCAGATTCAGCCTATGGGTCTGAGTTTGCCAGTCCCGGTGCCAAGAGGTAGACATTATCCTGGTTAACTAGTTCACAGTCACAGCGGAGACCACACATGCCGGCTATGCAACCTCCCCAAACCTGGGCCACTCGGCTGGGGAACTTGCCCACATGACAGAGACGACACCCTGCCTGCTCAGAGCCCTGGGGCCCAGAAGCAGGCATATGACATGGCACCAAGTTCTGTGAAGGGCTCGGTTCTGTTCCAGCTCAGTTCAGGCAAATGCTCAGTGGTCCCTCACGGGTCATCTCAAGAGCTCAGTGTCTGGAACCCAAGGACGTGGGCCATGGACTGGGAATGAAAATGCATGAAGGAGGAGGAACAGAAAAGAATTCTCTACCAGTGAGACACTGACTCCAGATAATAACGTACCCCCTACTGCCCCTGTGGGCTGTAAGACGGGCAATTTCTCCAGTGACAGGAGAGTGACAGGGCAGACCAAGGCTCCTCACATTCACAGCATCCTGTCCAGGAGCACCAAGTGCCAGCCCCTCGAGCAAGGACGATACCGTCTCTCTCCTGCCTCACCCAGACACTACAGCCAGGGAGGGCCAGGTACAAAGCCTCCTGGAATTGACAGAGACAGGACTTCAGAACTGCCAGAGCCATGGGGCGGCGAGCAGAAGGCAGGAGGGGCAGTCACCCAGCTGCAGGAGAGAAGCGGCGCAGAGCCCAAGTCGGGAACGCTCGGCTCCAGGAGGGGGGGGCTCTGGCCCAGGCGCAAGCTGACTCACCGCGGGGTCTGGCACGCAGCAGGAAAAGGGCACCCCGCACTTCTCTCGGCTGTAGCTGGCACCACTGCAGTTGAAGTAGACGTTGAGGTCCCAGTCTTCAGGGCCATACGCCCCACAGCACTGGTTCTGCAACCACAGATGCCGAGAACCATCAAGGTTTCTGAGCCACGGCTATGGCCACCCAGCACAGACATCAGTGCCGGGGTACATGCGCCTCCACAGACCACAAAAAGAAATCGAGGCCCACCCCACTGACCTTCCACACCCAGAGAGATGCTGAGCAACACAACCCAGGTAGCCCTTTAAGAAGGAAACTGCGGCTGTGACACCTTCCGCATCCCACATGTGTGGCTGGCTCCCCGGCGCCCCGGCCTCCACACGGGACACCGAGCACCTGCTCCAGTCCCTCCCCACCCTGGGGCTCTCCCTTCTTGCCCTCCCTGCAGCCTGGAGGGGCTTCTGGCTCTCTTCCCAGGCCCCTCTGCACCTCTGATATGTCCTTTATCACCCCCAAGGGGACACCTCCTGTGAGCAGTGCATCTCCCACCCCAAGGCACCTCCTAGGCTGCCCTAGTTACCTGCTCTGCCTCTTTACGAAGACCAGCTGCTGAAAGTCCACCCCAAGGAAGGAGCTGGGGCCAGGCTGAACGGGAACGCAGTCAAATCTCGGCCCCGACCTGGGGTCTCTGCCCTGCAATTCCCCTCCCCCGAGCTGGTGCAGCTCAAAGAAAATCCCCACTTGTCTAAAAACTTGTTAGACCAAACCCGCTGAGAGCCTGGCAGTGATGTCAAGGGTGCCGGGTCCGCGGGCAGACGCGTGACTGCACTGCCCCCACAGCTGACAGGCCTGCGGCCGCGTCGCAACACACACACAACCAGGACTTTGGCTTCTTCACTTCTAAGATAAACCCGTCGACCCACCCACCCTCAGGTTCTCGTTTCTCTAATGGTTACCTAACATTTCACCGTGAGGAAGCGCCACAATTTACTGAAAACCTCTGGGAAACTTTATTTTTAAAAGAGAAAGAAGGCAATGGAGAAAACTACAATGTCTTCAAGGCCAGTGCAGGGAGGAACCAGCCCGGGCTGCTGGACACCAGCCAGCCAGGGCTCTGCAAATGCAGAGAAAAGCCCAGCATGGAAGAGAAAAGGCACAGCGAGGGGCATCAGAAAACGGCAGGGTGGGTGACCATCACAGACAAATACAGGCCACCATTAACAACACAGAAAGAGTCTCTGGTCACGTGAATGGGTTTTGCTGGATCCCATGATACACGAAACAAGCGCAAACGAGTCTTAGTTAACAATGAGAGCAGATCATAGTTATTTTTAATGCTTTCTCATTTATTTTCCTCTCAGTCCTGAGGAAGCTAGGTTTTCTGACAGAGCAGAGGCAGCATGGCGGGAGGTGGGTTCCTCCCGGGGGAGGGACGGCTGTGGTCCCAGCCTCCAGGTGCAGCCACACATGAGGGGAGGGAGGCCAGACAGAGCAGGGACACGGCTGGAACTGCTCCCACGAACCCCAGGACACGTTCCAGGGAGGACATTCCTCTCCCTCTGAGAAAGCTTCCTCCAGGCACCACGCCTTCTCAAACAGGAAGGGGAAAAGGTCCTGGGGAGGAAGGGACAGGAATAGCCTCAGACGGTGAGTCACGCGCCTGGGGAGGCAGAGCTCTGCCCCTCGGTACTCACAGCGCCCAGGGTCCCAGAGCTGGAGAGATCGGGGCCCCCAGGGGGAGGAGAGGACTGTGCTTCTGGGGGCGGGTGGCCCCGGGGGCAGCTGCACTTGCCGGCCCAATCCAAATGGGGGAGGGCACACTGAGAGCACGCCTGGAGCACCAGGCAACCGTGAGCAGGCAAACCCACACTAACCAGTCCCCCCACTGGCCCCCGCTGCCTGCCGTGCTGAGGAGAGACAGCCCCGACCCCACGACCCTGCCCCGCACAGCATGCACACACTAAAGCCGAGAAAGCCGCGCTCTATCAGGGAGCCCACCATGGGCAGTGCTTACGGCCTTCTGCAGGGAGTCGATGAGGTTCTGCAGGTCAATGTCGTCCCGGTAGGATCTGATGTTGCTCTCGAAGAACTCCCGGAACCGGTCCCTCACCCAGTCCTGGAAGAGGAAGGCCAACACGGCCACGGCCAGCTCCAGGAAGAAGATGAGCACGATGGCGCCGCAGAACTGCAGGGGACGAGGATGGAGCAGAGTCACCACATCTGCAGCCTCACAGCCAGACGCACGCTTGTCCGACCCAGAACCACCTCTGCCCAAAGACCTCTGCACCTGAGACCCGGTGGAGCTCCAGGAAGCCCACAGTAAAGGTTGCGTCCCCCTGGGCAGCTCCACCGCATCTGTGAAATGGAGGTATTCACCCCACCCACATCACTGCCTTGCTGGCAGGAGTCAAATGAGTCAAAGTACCAAGACACTCCAGGCCAGTGTGCCAGCCACTTCCCAAGAAGTAGCCCCTACCCCAACAAGAAGGAAATCCCATCTCCGGATGAAAGGCTGCCCTGCCCCACCAGGCTATCAGCTCCTATAGGGCAGAGCCTGTGCCCCAGACACACCGTCTGACACCTCTCCCCACACACAACCATCTGAGTTGCTAGAAATCTAACGTCACCCCTACTTTAGGGGTAGGAGCCCGAGGCCGCATAACTCATGCAGGACACCTGAGTCCCTGTGGTGCTCTTGACAACTCCGGAGTGGCCGGTGTTACCAATACCCACTCTATATGTGAGTGCATGACAATCAACTGCACAAAGGTCTCTCCACAAGCAAGGCTGCCCCGGCCATAGGAGCAGTGGCATCTGCAAGGGCCCACCACAGCTACAGGAGCACTCCCCTCTCACAGAGCCGATTCCGGGCCCACAGAGCGTGTCCTCACAGCCACTATCATTGGCCACACAGCTCACTGAGCACCTGTGCCACAACCAGCAGAGGCAGAGGAGCCTTTCAAAATAAGAGGGAAACACACATGCACGCACACACATAAACACACATACACACGAGGCTCTCCAAAATGCAATCTCCAATCATGTAGATGATGCTAAACGTAATATTTTTAAGAAGAAAAAAATTAGGGAAAAAAACACGTTTTGGTTTCTAAAATAAGCCCAGGAATGAGAAAGCTTGAGCTAATCAATTCAACAAATAATACATTACAAAACATGATTATGTGTTTTCCCCACCAGTTGCCATTTAATTTTAACCGAATGAATTGCAAAATGAATTTTTATCTAAATATAAAACCAAACTCTTAGTAACTTGAGTTCTGCCAGGAAATTAAGAATTCTGCATCGCACACCCAGCAGACTCACAGACCCTCGAGGAGGGAAATGATTTCCTAACCTCACTGGCAACGTCTTTTCATCTCAGCCAGGAAGGGCACAGGTGAGCAGTAGACAGATAACCTCTGCTCTGCTGGGGGTGGGCTGTGAGCAGCCCACTCCTCCCACCAGGAGCTGAAAACCAGAGGCCCAGCTTATCCAGGGACAAGGAGTTGGTGCATCCAGACTGTTTCCTGAACTCTCACCATTCAGTGGGCGGCAGGGTATAAAGGGCCGCCCCACCCCTCCTGCTGGGGCCTGGAGAGGCTCGGAACAGCTGCTCCCATCTGACCAGGTAAAGGTTTAGCCTGCCCAGCAGAGCCCACATCTGCCTCTCTGTCTCCTCCCACCCTGTATCCAGGCCACTCACAAACTTGAGCAGGCAGATGTTCTCCCGCAGGGCCCCCACGCAGCCAGCAAACCCCAGCGTGAACATCACCACGCCCACCATCAGCACCAGCACCACGGGGTCAATTCCATGCAGCCGGGTCACTCTGGTGAGGTCGGAGAGCACCCCCTGAAAGAGGCAGAGAAAGCGGGGCAGCATCAGCCTCGAAGGGAGTCAAGGGTGCCCCGGGGGACTGGGCTGTGTCTGGAACTGAACTGGGGATGGGGACCTGCCTTCCGAGGCTCAGTCCTCTCATTAAAAGCCAGGCTAGAGCATGGTCCCTGCCCGCCTGCCCCCTTACACACTCCTCTGCCCAGCAGATCCTTGCCCACCTCAGCCCCAGGGCCCTCACATGCCACGATCCTGATCTCCATCCAGGCTGTGAGTGCCCCCCGGGCAGACCCCACGCTTCCTCTGCAGCCTGCAGGGTGCCTCTGCCAGGCCTAGGGTGGAGGGGACCTGGGGGGCCTGCAGTCAAGGCACTCTGGGGCCACAGCCTGACCCTGGCCTCTGGCCACCTGGCAACTGACATTATTAGTCCCCCAACTTTGCCCCCAATTCACAGAGAATGCCATTCTCCTGAGATGGACCTCTGGTGGAGAACACGCCCACTGAGGGCAGAGCAAGGTGGTGCTGTCCACTCTCTGTGACGATGGGGGTCTTCTGTGTCTGCACCGGCCAGAGTGGTGGCCGCCAGCCACACGTGCTACAAGCACTTGAAACGTGCCGTGGGACTGAAGAAACGAATCTAATTTGTGTTTCATTTTAATTAATTTAAATGTAAAGAGCCACATGTGGCTAGCGGCAACCACAACGGACAGGGCGGTTCTGCAGGATTCACCGGAGGAAGGAGAAAGAGCAGGAGCCAGGCACCCGACACTGGGCATCCACTCGGCTCTGCTCGCCGGGCAGCCGCTGTCCCGCAGGCAGCCACACGGTGGCACTGTGAGCCACGGACTGTACCAGGTGACCCTGCACCTCAGCTCCTCCCCTTCAGGGGTTCACAGGCCACCTTGAGGTGCCCAGACCCAAGAGCGGGTCCTATCCAGTTCCTAAGGCCATGGAGAGAAAGCCCATAGACCTAGGCGCTCGTGCCTCCTCCTCCTGGAAGCAGAGAGGTCCCCAGAGCAACGAGGGCTCTGGGTCTGTTTCCTGCCCGCACCGGCCCACCACAGAGCATAAGGTGGCGCCACAGCTCCACCATGCCCACAGCTGGTCTGGTCCCTCCCAGGTCCCAAGTGCCCCTTGTCCTTCCCGACAGTCAGAGCCTGGTCTCCCCTCCTCACCTCCCCTCCACGGCAGGGCGAAGGGGTTCACAGGTGCGTGAAGACCTGTCCCTGGCCCACGGGACGCCCAGGGGGCGTATGACAGTGCCCTGCTCCCTGACTCAGGTGGGGGAGGGTCTCAGGAATAAACACAACCCTGTCCAGGAGGGGCTGCTGGCTCCCAGAAGCACAGCCAGGGTCAGGAAGGTGGCCCCAGGCCTACCCTGGACACAGCTGCAGACAACCCCTGGCCAACCTGGCGCTTCTGGGAACAGAAGGGAGGCTCTGCACTCAGGGAGCTCAGAGCCCAGCAGGCCCAGCCCGGCCTCTAGCAGACACCCCCACGGGGAGGCAGAGCTGGTGGAGGAGCCCAGGGCTTTTCACTGTAGGTTCCGTGACTGCTTCCACGAGCTGCTCTGTGCAGATGATGACACTGCACGAGACGTGCTTGTCAGGGGGGAGTCTAGAGGAAGGGACAGAGAAGCTGAAGGAATCCAGCTGTGGCCGCCTGATGCTCAGGGTCCTAGGGACAATTACACCTACCTTTTCGCTCCATGCCCACAGTCCGACTCCCAGGAAGACGACTCCAGCCAACTGGGCAGGGGCAGCGGGGGTTGGGGTGGGGGGAGAGAGAGAAAAAGTGAGGTTGGAAACCAGCACCAGGAAGGGAAACCAGCACCGTGAACGTGCTTCTCACAGGGAGCACACTGCTAGTCAGGGGATACTCCTGGCTCGTGTCCACGATGGGTGGAGCCGGGGCAAGGTGGCCCCCCTCAGCCCCTGCAGATGACGGGCGGCAAGGCTCTTCAGATAACCCGCCCCTCCTTCCCTGACCGTTCAGACACATTCCTTCAACCCTAGACGGCCCCATGCTCCAGAGATCTGGGAGCAGACTGTCCTGGAGAGACCACAGAGTCAGAGATATCCAGCCCCACCCTGTTTCCCGCCCATCCCACAAACCCTCCACTCAGTTCGGTGCACTCTCTGCTGTCTAAGACGAATCGCCCCAGGTGCCCTCACAGGCTCCGCACAAGACCCACACCACCTCTGCCACCACGCACAGACGCGCCGCTGCACGGGCCGGGCCCTGCGCGGCACCTGCTCTGCATGGGCACGTGTGCTCGGGAAAGGCTGGGTTACGAGTCACAATTAAAACAGGCCTGCACTACGCAATGTGCTCACCCCAGAAAAGCTGTGCCCCCAACCCCCACCTCCCCCCACAGGACCCAGTGAGGCTGCCTCGGTCCTCTCTCTGCACCACAACAAAAGGGGCCCTCTGCAGACAAAGCAGCCTCCCGCTCTGCTGTTTCATTACTTGACGCCGAGCGGGCATGGGGCTGCCGTTCACCAGAACCGCAGGATGAACCACAGGGCTGTGTCTGTGCCTGCGCTCCAGAGCGCAGGCTCAGACTTCAGGCCGTCCCTGCCACGGCACTCACGGCTGGCTCCCGCTGGTGTGGGGGCGAGGAAAGGCCCGTGAAGAATGCCCTGGGGTTCTCGACCTCTCTCGGATCACAGATCACATTCAGAAAATGCTCACGTGCCCAATATTCTGATGGAATTTCAGAGGCTTCACAGACTCCTCACAGCTGGCTCCCGCAGCAGTTTGTGGACCCCAAGTGAAGAATGCCTGCAGGCCCAACCCCACCACTTCACAAAGCGGAACACGGGCCAGAGGGCCAGACCCAAACTCCAAGCAGTGGGGAGAAGGGCCCCGAGCCCCCGTCTCTGTTTAATCCATTCGTTTCCTCATTCACTCGTTCCTTCAACAAATACTGACTGAGTACATCCTAGGTCCCGGCACCGTCCAAGCACTGGAGACAACCCCGAGCCCGTGGGCAGAGACCCCTGTGCCGCGGGGACTCACACTCTAGGGAGCCGACGAACAGGCCTTTCTGGCACCCTCGCTGATTTCCCACTTCTCAGTCCTCCCGTCGAATTAACCAGCTGAGGAAGGTCTTTGATTTTCTTGATGAGTTGCATGACCAATTCCTTTCTCTCCCTAGGTGTCTCACATGGCACGGGAAGCAAGCCTGAGGGTGACCAGTCGCTGCCCGCTGAGTCCTGTAGGCGTCCTCTGCACCCTTCCTCAAGGTCCCCAGTGACTGACTCCCCTCTCTCGGAGCTGGAAGCTTCTCTGATCTCATCCAGCACAGCTGGGGCCCCCCTCCTGCACTGAGGCACTAGGCTCTGGGGCCACAGAGCGCACACTCATGGTTGTCTCCCACCCTCCTTGTCACTCCTTCTCAGTCTCTGCTGTTGGTAATCCTCCTCTTCCAGACCTCTCTAAATGCTGGGAACCTGACTGTCACTCCTGGACCCCGCCCTCCCGGGACCCCTCCAGATGATCTCATAGTTCACACGGCTTTGAATACTGTCCACACACTGCTGGCTCGCAAACCTCATCTCCAGTGCCAGCCACTCCCAAACTAAACATCCTCATGTCTACCTGGCTTGTCCCCCTAAGACATCAGACCACATTTCAATCTTAACATGCCCCAAATGGAGGCTTGGTCTCCCAAATCCCAACTAGCAACTCCCTAACTCTTCCCCTTCTCCTTGGACAGCACCACTGTCCATCTACTCATTTGTTTAAGAAAGAAACCCTAGGGCCGGCCCCGTGGCTTAGCGGTTGAGTGCGTGCGCTCCGCTGCCGGCGGCCCGGGTTCCGATCCCGGGTGCGCACCGAGGCACCACTCCTCCAGCCATGCTGAGGCCGCGTCCCACATACAGCAACTAGAAGGATGTGCAGCTATGACAGACAACTATGTACTGGGGCTTTGGGGGAAAAATAAATAAATAAAATCTTAAAAAAAAAAAAAAAGAAACCCTAGACCTCAAGCTTGGTGCCTCTCTTTCCCTCTAACCCCACATTCACCCTACCAGGACCTGCTGCTGACTCTACCTTCAAAATCCATAGTGCCTCTGACCAGTTTTCTCCCCGACTCTCTGCTCCCACCTGCCCGTGCCCCACCCCTACAGGGGCCTCCTGCGCTCTCCTCACAGATCCCCAAGCAACCAGAAGAATCCTTCAAAAATACAGATCGGATAATTCCCCTTCTCAATAACTCTCCAAGGACCTCCTTTTACACTTAGGATAAAATTCAGACTCCTGGGCTGGCCCCGTGGCTTAGCGGTTAAGTACACGTGCTCCGCTGCTGGCGGCCTGGGTTCGGATCCCAGGCGCGCACCGAGGCACTGCTTCTCTGGCCATGCTGAGGCCGCGTCCCACATACAGCAACTAGAAGGATGTGCAGCTATGACATACAACTATCTACTAGGGCTTTGGGGGGAAAAAATAAATAAATAAAATCTTAAAAAAAAAAAAAAAAAAAAAATTCAGACTCCTTGCCATGGCCCACAGGCCTACGCAGCCAGGGCTTGGCCACATCTCCGCCACCGCCACTTACTCCCCTGGCCACCCTGGCATTGTTACCATTTCTTGAACTCACCAAACTCTTCCCTGCCTCAGAGCCTTGACACTATTCCCTCGGCCTAGAAGGTTCTTCCTCCATATCCCTTCCTGGCTTCCTCCCTCACCTCATTCAGGTCTCTCCAAATTTCACCTCCTCAGAGCCTCCCTTTTCCATCCTAGGTGGACAGCTCCCCGTCCACCACTCCTGACCTCCTTCCCTGCTTGATTTTCTTCATGGTGCTTATCCTAGACCACAGGGGCTGTTTGTCTAGTGTGTCTCCCCCCCTTGAGCCCTCTGAGGGCAGAGATGTTCCTGTTTTGCTCAGGGTTGTACCCCAAAAACTTGGAGAAGGACTTGCCCATAGTAGGTACAGAGTAGGCATGAGCGAGCCAGTCACCAGGGCTCCAAGACCAGGGCAGTCCTTGCCTGTGGTCCTTCCAGCTCTCCTCCAGGCACACTCTCAGGTCTAACTCAACCCAAATGCACTCAAAGCAAATGAGGGCCAAGCACAAGCCCAGCCCAGCCCAGCCCAGGTCGACGGTCAAGCCCTACACAGGGGCGTCAGGATCAGAGCAAGACAGGGCCTAGAGGCAGCACATCCCTAGCCCCCATCCAGTGTCCCCAACAAGGATTCCAGCCTCTGCCTAATCACTTTCCATGACAATCCACCCACCACCTGGTACTACAAGGATGGAGAGAAACCCCTTGCTGAGTCACGATCAGCTTGAGAAGCCAGCTCCCTGCACCACAGTGCAGTTCTCCTTCCCTCACAAGGACTAGCTCTAACAACAAGGGCTCGTGTTTTTTTGCCACTCTGTTTCAAAGGAAGAACTAAAGTTAACTTGCACCAGAAAGAAAGGAACTGGGGTGAGGGGGGGTCACATGTCAGATCACGGGTTCAATGAACACTGGCCCATGGCAGGAACTCTGGGGACCAATAGTCATTTTCAACTCAAGGAGACTGAGCGAGGACCAGATAGGGGAAGTGACCTGTCTGGGAACTCACACAACAGCCCCACGAATGAGCCAGGACGCTCGCCAGCTTCACCCGGCTCCCCGCGGAGCCCCTTTCCTGGGCCTTGCCGAGGCAGATGGTCCACGGGGCGGGTCTATCTCCCCGGCTGCCAGCCATCGGGGAGTGACAGTTGAGCTGGGTGCCTCCAGCCTCAGAGTAACCTTCCCTGTCTCTCTTCTTTGATCTAATTAAATTCCTTCCCAAAGAATGGGGCCCAACTCCCACCAAGCCCTAAGGGAGGCCAGCCTTGGACCATCAGGACACACACCGCTGTGGTCACCAAGGCAAGCAGCACCACCCTTTCTCGGGTGCCAGACACTGTATTAAGCACTCACTACACCTAAAGAGCCCCTTCCACCCATCGGGCTGGCACTATGACCCCCATTTTTCAAATGGGAAAGCTCAGATGGAGAATGATTTGGTGATCTGCCTAAAGACGCACAGCTAGCTGGTGGCAGAGTTAAGAACCAAACCTGAGTGTCTCTGGACCTCCTGACCACCCACAGACCAGCCCCCCAAGCCAGGAAGAGCGAGCAGCAGCCAGTACCCTCCACCCCACCAGGGCAGGCACAGGTCTGGTGGTGGGGGAGCTCCGCAGAAGGGGCTCTGCACTGTGTGACTCTAGGGCCAAGGACCCCATTGTCAGGTGGGGAGGATCACTCTATGTCCCAACCAGGATCAGGGGCCAGAGCCTCCGTGTGGGTCACTGTCAAGACAGCTGACATTTGCCCGTTAGGCAAAGGCCCTGTGAAAGAAGGGGCCAGGTCTTCTTGGGGCTGGTCTGGACCTGCCTTGTCCAGAAGACACATGGGATCCTCTTGCCACACAAGCAAGCACCTTATCCAAGCAGGTTCAAGTCACACAGCAGTGTAGACACCCGGTCAGGCCCTGTTGGACTGGGGGAGGGTTTCAACACCAAGTAGGTCAAAAGCAGCCCCTTATCACCCACAAGTTAGTGGCCCTGGCCCCTGGAAGATTTCACATCCGGGTGTGTAATAGCACTTAGGCAATACTGCAGGCCCCAGAGGGAACCTCAGCAAGCTCAGGGCAAACCACCAGCAGCATCGCAAGGCGTTCAGGCCCCGCCCTCCGGCCCCTGGCTCCTGCAAGCTCCCCTGCTGACACAGGCCCACGCTCACAGAGTGCCTTCCCTGGGGCCGCCT